ATTTATTAAATGGTCTGTAACAAACTATAATGTAGTTAGAAACAGATATGTTAAGTGTAAATTGATGTTGAGTATTTTTTACAAATACATTAGTGTGTTGTATACACTGCTTATGAATGCTAAATAGGGGGACTGCCAGAGTGTTGCCAATAAGTTAATAAAGTTTTTAGTTTAGAGTGCAGAATTTGAGACATTTAAACCAAAGACTGGTGCAAGCAACTTCAGTAACGGAGTTGAAATGATTTACGTGCAACTTACATATTGGTTATGTGAAAATGGTTGACACTCTTTGTTATGACAGCTCTGTGAAAATTTAACAGGAAGTAGCACTCCCACAAGGATTTACATGTGTATTTAGCTGCAGTTGAAGTACAGCCATGATGGAGCTTATACAACATGAAACACTTTTCCTTACATGGTCACTTAAAAAGCCTTCACTGACAACATGCATAGAAAATGAGGTGGTTAAACTCAAGGTCTACATTTGAAATTCAGATGTCAAGTACACTTAAGGTAGCCAGAGAATCAAAATGCTTTTCAAGGCATTAAATAGCAGCTGTGCACACAGGGTACAATGATGTTAAAGTGAAAGAGTTCTGTTTTCATCATGATCCACTGGAGCTAAAGGTAGTAGAAGAAAAACAGAGATAAATGTCAGGAATGACCATGGCCCAGTGTGCGAACTATACTGCGGCTTTCAAAGGGGGTTCACTTATATGGGGGGGGGCACACACGCATCAAATCTGAATCAAATCTAAATCAAGAGCAAAACATGCCAGTGTGCTTACAAGGAATCAAGTCCGCATTAACATGCGCAAAATAACCTCTGATAACCAGGCTGCCTACAAGAGATCCAATCCTCAGCAACATCATATACAACACAGTGTTATTATTAATAATACAGTTTATACAGATTAGCCCTTACCTTAAAACGACCACACAGGCCTGGGATCAGCTTCCTTTGCTGTTGGTCCAGAAGCCCATGATGTGGACAGGCGATGACCTGATTTAATCCAGGATGTGATGAAGGGTGCTGGGTCGAATCTCTCCAAAGAGGGTCCATTAAGATCCACCAAAAGGAGCGATGAGAGGCTGTTTTCACGCAGTCTATTGCGGGTCTTGCTGTCAGTGTCAGTGAGGGCAGAAAACCCCCTCTCACACTCTGATGAGGTGGGGAGATAGGTCCTGCTTGCTGTACAAAGCTTTTCCAATGTTTTGCCTGGTGCTTTATCTTGTAACTTCCAGTCGCGGAACTCATCCACTGCCTCTCTAGCTGACTCGCCGAGTTTTTTAGATAGTGTTCGTACTTCATGCTCTCCATACAGGATCAATGCGTTGTGGTCCTGTGGCCAGACGTGCTTTTAAATTGCTATTGTAGACATTTTAGAAAATAGTCCAGCAGTTCTGGAGCAACACTATTATTAATTTTGAGTCATTTTTTGTCCACATGGCAATATCCAATATTCACTTTCTTTTAGCTCTGTTTTTGGTCTCTACCAATTCCTGAGGGAAACATCTCGCTCTTTAGCTGCTACTATGCTTACCAGCTAGTTCCTTAGCTATTTTTTTCTGGTGTTTGGTGTTGAGCAGGTAGTGTATTACAGTCACTTTTTTTTAGAGCTATCAGTGAGTAGAAACTCACTATAAAGCTCTGTAAAGCCAAGGGGAGCTGCAGATCTGGGGATAATTATCTGTAGATTTGCCATTACAAGCAACCACTTTCACATTGTCGCATTGTTTTCACGTAAGTCTGCTTTCTTATAGGTAGCGATGTTGATCAATAGTCAGTGTTATTGCCTTACAGCATGGTTTGAAACCAAGTCTGTGTGGGGTTTCCATGTCCTCCTGTTTGTGTGGATTTCATATTCCAGGAATGTTAATTAGTTGCATTAATATTTTTTTGCAGCAATAAAGAGTGCTCGCTGTAATAGTGTCAAAGCAACACCAGACAACTCTCCAAAGAGGCCAAATGAAATGTAAATGTAAATGCACTACAGTAATTCACAAAACTGTACAATTATCCTGAGAAACAGTCTCAAAAATCATAACAACTTATGGAAAACAACAAAGAGGAGAAGTTGAAACCAACCAACAAGGATATAATATGTATGTTTACGTTTTCATGAAGTGTGGTTTATGTTATCTACTATAGATAAGATATCTAGTTATATTATAGATATTAATGTTTTTGTAGACTTCATGGTAATTAGCAGTCGTATCCAGTCACAACTTTGTTTTCTATTTTAGATTCAAATTATATAATGCTCTTTTTCATGCTGGGATTCATTCCTCTCTCTCTCTCTCTCTCTCTCTCTCTTTTCTTCTACAAGTCTTACCCCCATAAACCTTTTTATTGAACAGTACAAGGAGCTATGACATATCCATCCGAAGATCAGAGTGGTTTATGCACAAAAGTGAAATATTGCTTCTATATGGCCCTAAAATACAATGTTGAATGAAAGATTAATTTAATTTAAATGAAATTCACATTACTGTCTGACTTACTGACTATTTTTGCTCAAGGAGGCATACTGTTCTCACTTATGGACACATTGTGACAGTACTGGAAGTCTGAGACACTTCTGTTATCAGGCAGATTCACTCTGCTTCAACTCTGCAGTGTTTTGATGCTTTTGCATGTGAAACATTTTCACTACACAATGGCGTGACTGCAAACTTTTCAAGCTGTACATTGCATAATTAATCGTTATGACACTGAAGCATCTTAGGATTTATTTGCCAAGTCCATAGCTTCTTTTTTCACTGTTAGAAAATGTTTGATTTTATGCATACATCCCCATTAGCGATATGTTTCTATATCAATTGTTGCCATAGGTTAATTAAATTTCTTCTTTTTTTTCCAAAACTCATCAGTCACTCCTAATTTTCTCATTAAACCTGCATTCATTTTTTTGTCTTTCTCTGAAAATAATTTGTCACGGCACCACTTAGCCACGATTCATACATTGTATTATAATTAATGAATTATGCAATATTGTGGTGACTCACAATGAACTCGGAGACATTCACCAGGAGACTGTACCTTTAAGGGAGAGGTCATAAGGTGTGCAGTTCCGGGTTTGTGGGGTCGTTGC